AGAATAAAGATAATGAAAGGTCTGATTCCCTTTCTAAAATAATTGAATCAGTGGTGCCTTCTAAAATAATAGAATAACAGTCTTACCTTCGGGAAAGGACTATAAACTCCTTAAAAGAACCGTAAAAGTCACTATATCAGGTGGTTCTTGAGAAAACCAAAGACCACCGGTGACAGCGGCCGTAAAGTAAGTAAAAGGGTTCATGTTTTGTCATTCTGTTCTTGATGGTTCGATACGCGAAAAGTGCTGGGGGTATCAACACATCCCAATCATATGCTGTTTCTTCTACACACTTCATCACAGCTCTGCACAACGTCTGATTGAACCGCTACGTTAGTCCGTTGCTTTGTGGGTGGTATGCGGACGTGAGTCTATGTTGTGATCCCATTATATCCACCAAGTTACTACTACCTGGCTGATGAATACTGTTCCTCTATCGGACAGTATTTCTCGCGGACATCCATGACGACATATAATCTCGTCGTATAGGAATCATGCGACTGTTACCGCATCCGCTCTTTCTATTGTCCTCGCTTCCGGCCACTTGGAGAAATAGTCTGTGGCTACTATGATATACCTTTTCATTGTGGACGTTGGTTTCAAAGGTCCTACGATGTCTATCCCTAACCGGTCAAAAGCCTGCCCTACTTTGATAGGTCGTAACTCCTCAGTTTTCGTAGGCTTGCCTTGGCGTTGGCACACGTCACAAGTCTCTACATAATTTCTTACGTCTGTACCCATCGTGAGCCAGAAATATCGCTGCCTTGTCCTGTCTATTGTCGATTTTGTGCTGAAATGTCCTGCATTCAGCACACTGTGCATATTGTATAATATTTTATTTACGTCGTCCTTCAATATTACCCGCAATGGGCTACCGTCCTTGTTACACTTGAACAATAAATTGTCTTGTACGATGTAATGATTCGCTTGTTGCCGTAATTGTCGTCGTTGCTCGCTCGTTCAATCTTGAGGGAAAGTGTGGTTAATTAAATATTCGATTATTTAATTGTAATTATTCATATCCATTTCTGAAAGGTTTCGCAATCTTGTTGCGTATTCGAGTTCCTGTGTATTTTCTCTTGCTTAGTACTTGATGCGGGATAAAGCGTCTGCGTTGGCGTTAAGATGCTCTTGTTTGTGGATGATATTATAATCGTACTTGGATAGCGCAAAGATCTAACGGGTGATTCTTCTTTTCGGTTGCGGCCAATTTTTCAACCAAGTGAGGACTAAGTTATCGGTGTACAAATCGAATTTGGGGCCATGTAGATAATGCTTGAAGTGCTGTACGGCCCAGATAGCGACGAGGCATTCTTTTTTGACGACGGTATAGTTTTGCTCTACGGTAGATAACGTTCGACTGGCGTAAGCAACGGGATGTTCGTGGTTTTCTTCATCCTTCTGGAAAAGCACTGCTCCGATGCTCCAGCCGAATACATCTGTGGCGAGTATAAATTATTTCGTGAAGTTAGGGTAAGTCATTATGGGTGCTGTACTTAAACACTACTTCAGTGAATCGAATGCGAACTGGTGTTCGTGCACCCATCTAAATGTGACGTCCTTCTTTATAAGGTTGTGTAGCAGCTTAGCAACGGTGGCGAATTCCTTTATGAACCTCCTGTAGTAAGAGGTCAACTCCAAAAAGGCACAAACACTTGTCTTGTCTCTTGGTGCCAGGTAATATCGAACCTTCTCGACTTTTGACGGATCGGGAGCTATACCTTCGATCGTTATAATATGTCCTAAAAATATCAACTTCATTCTAAAAAAGTCGCATTTCTCCACATTTATCCTCAACCCCGCGTTCCTCAGAAGAGTAAATACAATTTTTAAGTGCTCTTCATATTCTTCGCGAGTTTTCGAGTAGATGATGATGTCGTCTATGTACACAAGTACGAACTTCCAAATAACCTCGTGAAAGACCCTATCCATTACCCGCTGAAATGTCGCGGGGGCATTAATGAGGCCGAATGGCATCACAAGAAACTCGTACATCCCAAAGGGGTAATGAAAGTAGTCTTTTCACGGTCCTTCGGTGCTACCTCCACCTGCCAAAATCCTGAGGCCAAATCTAGAGTGGAAAAGAAAGCGGAGTGTCCCAAGGCATCTAACATGTCAGCTATCCGTGGGACAGAGTAGGCATCGGGCTTCGTGACTGCGTTCAGCTTCCTGTAGTCGACGCAGAGTTTAAATTTTCCATTTTTCTTGTTAACTATTACCGTGGGCGCTGACCAAGGGCTAAACGACTTTTCGATCAACTTATTCTCTAACATAAGCTTTATTTCCTCCTTCAAAAATTTCAGGTGTCGCAAGGATGTTCAATACGGATGCTGCTTGATAGGTTTCGCTTCCCTGACATCTATGGTGTACTGGTAAATGTCAGTTTTCCCAAGTTGGGAGAGGTCACTTGCTATTAGTCCAGGAATTTTCCGAAAACTTTATCAATTAACGGCTTGTACTGATTCTCCTTGGGTATTTTCGTTCTTCCTAGGACTATATTACAACGGACATCCCAGATTTCGTCCAGTGGTACTATTGAGACGGCCTCCCGTTTTTGTACCCGTTCCTCACACATCTCGCACTTGTCCTCTGCATCTTTAAGATACTTGTCGCACCAGCAAAACGAATTTGGTCCTGTCACCTTTCGTTGTTCTTGCTT